ATTAATCATTTTTATTGTGGAGGATGTTAATCATAGATATTATCATCTTCATTATTTTAATTTTAGAGAAATACATGAAACAATTTCATTAATGTTAGAGAAATACATGAAATAGTTTCATTAAGTATTATATGAAACAATTTCACAACTATATATGAAACAATTTCATCACAAAAAGTATTATATGAAACAATTTCACAAGATTAAACAATTTCATGAAAAAATTTCATAAGATTAAACAATGAAATCGACAGATGAATGTGGTTTGCACGGTTTACACAAATGAGGGCGGTTTTCATATGATCACTCCTCTATATATATATATATATATACACACAGAGAGAGAGAGAGAAGATCAAACGTGAATGGTACATATTTAAAAGAACACGAAAACGGGTAAATCACGTACAAAATCGCATGTGATTTTATATTAATGGTCAAAAAAAAGTATATGGGCGACTTGTGGCTGCATCTTCAGGTCGTCGGGCAAGGTTTCTGAATCACATGTGATTTTGTATATGGTGTTAGTGTAAATCACATGTGATTCGCCCGTTTTTGTGTTCTTTTAAATAGGCATTGTTCTCACTTGATTCTGCCTCTCTCTCTCTCTCTCTCTCTCTCTCTATATATATATATATATATATGTGTGTGTGTGTGTGTGTGTGTGTGTGTATATAGGGTTGGGTTCACGTGAGACTAGACTGTTTTCCCTAAGATTCATGAGAACACTATTTTACACTTGAACTTCACAACAAAACACTGTGAAGATAAAAAAAATCCAAACTTTTACAGCAAAAACACTGTGAAAAGGTATCTTCACAGTGTTTTGCTACCCTTCACAATGATTTGTTGTGAGGTTTCAAGTATGAAAAAATAATTTTACGGGTCTCACGAAAACAAGTTGGTCTCACGTTATCCTAAGTCTCTTTCTTTCTCTCTCTATATATATATGTGGGTCTTCCTTCTCTCAACCAGAGTCCTACATTGCCTAGTTACGAACCAATCAATCTGTGTATATATATATATATATATATATATATATATATACTACAGGGCTTTATAGAGAGAGAGTCAAATAAGTTTTTGGCTATGTTTAGCAAACTAACCGATAAATTTTTCAACGTTGTTAAAAACTACTTTCTTCATCCTAAAATACATGCGTATAATGAATTGAAAAGGGCACATAATTCTCGAAACATATAATTATTAGTCTTTTTAATTATTAAATAACAAACTTGCTTTTAATACAAAAAGAATAATGAATATTTCCATCTCGATATAATTGGAAATAAATCCTTAATTTGGAAGGAAGGGAGTAGCTAATAGGTTAAATAACCCTCTACATAGGGGGTATTCACCAAGTCAAACATAACCGTTTTTGACGGTTTGGCGCCAAATCGCCAGGTCGGTCTAGTCTTCTGTTAGAATGTTTTTTTGAACGGTTTGGACCGAATCGACCGCCAAAAATACGCACGTATTAATTATATTTAGTTTCAAGTCGTAGGTTTAAATCAGACAAACCAGACCGCATTTTTATGTCCAGTTTGATTGGTTTGGCCACTCGCTATCAAAACCGCTCGGTTTGAAATTTTTTCTAAACTGCAATTATCATTTAGTTTATGGTTTGAAAAGTTAAACTGCAAAAACTTGATCACACGGGTGTTTGAGATTGCTTATTTGAAACAACTTATGTTTTTCTACAAAAGCACTTGTCAACTTATTATAAGTCAGAAAAGTTTAACTTCTTCAAAAACTCTTTATTACCGGTTTGACACCGGTATAAGTTGTTTATCCAAACACTCAAAAATGTTTATTACCAGTATTACACCGGAATAAGCCAATAAATTATTTTTATAACATGATAGATATTTCCTTTGGCAGAGTTGTTGGTTTGTGGTGTCATCAAAAACACAAATTCAACGATTTCTGTCATTTTGTCAAATAACCCTTCTCATTTTCATGGAGTTGTTGGAGATATCATCTAAGTTTTCTTCCACTTTCAACTACTTCGTGACTACCTCCCTTTATTTTTGACACCAAGTGCCACCCTCCTACCCGATTGCAACCAATCGATTAACAGTCGATCGCTCGATCATCGAATTACGAAAATCCATATATACACTTCTACTCGCCATTTCAGATTTCCGTTTCCACGTTAATCAATAGTTCGTATTTGGACTCAAATGTTGCGAAAGTTTGGTAAAAGAGCGAGCTGCATTTGGTCAAGGATCAGACTCCGAGTGCTCGTATGGAGGACCGTATCGCGTAAAGTGGTGATCGGGAGATTCAAGAAGAAAAATCCTACCAAAAAAGATCGAAATGGTGATCAAATTGCTCCAAATCGTATACGGGTTGCCTCTTTTAATGTTGCTATGTTCTCCCTTGCACCCACGATTGCTAAATCGGATGGAAAGTGGATCGACGGTGTTCGTGGACACGAAGGTAATGGTGGACCAATTAAGAGCATATTAAAGCCGTCTCCTTTGCGTTCTACTACAGTAATTGGGAATGAACATCTTCCCAAGAAAGTCTCGATAAATCTTCCGGAAAACGAGATATCGATGGCGCAAAATCGGGTCCTAAGAAGCCCGATTTATCTCCCAATGATGAATTGGATGGATGATGGGAATAGAAGCATTCTTGATGTGCTTAAAGAAGTCGATGCCGATATACTGGCTTTGCAGGACGTGAAGGCCGAAGAGGAGAAAGGAATGAAACCGTTATCGGATTTGGCTTTCGGTCTCGGGATGAATTACGTTTTTGCGGAAAGTTGGGCTCCCGAATATGGGAACGCCATTTTGTCGAAATGGCCGATTAAAAGGTCGAAGGTTCAAAAAATTTACGATGAGCAAGATTTCAGGTACAACTCGTTTCTTGTTAATTTGTCTTCTTTTTTTCGAAGCGGTGTTTGGGATTGCTTATAAAAACAACTTATTGACTTATTCCGGTATGGTACCGGTAATAAGCACTTTTGAGTGTTTTGATAAACAACTTATACCGGTGCCAAACCGGTAATAAGGAGTTTTTAAAAAAGTTAAACCCTTCTGACTTATAATAAGTTGATAAATGCTTTTGTAGAAAAACATAAGTTGTTTAAAAAAACAATCCCAAACACTCGTGAATCGCAAATATAACCATGGTATTTGACATAGTAATAATTAAGCAACTTTTATGAATTTTAATAGTTGCATGTAAACAATTTAGGAAGTAAAGAATAAGATAATGAAGAGTGTGCAAAACTTGAATTGGATCAACAAAACCAAATAATTATGTTGTCGGCATGGGAATGGGACGGGAACCTCAATTCCCGTCCCCATATCCATTCTCAACAGGGATTCCTCAACGGAGAAACGGGAATTTTTTTTTCCGTTTATATAAGTTATTTTAGATTCAAATATGTGAGAGACCATACATGTGTAAATTTCAAACATTTTCAATAAACCTAAAACCGAAATGTATTTAATTTAATACAAAAAAATCACATCATCATATAAGAACTAATAACTTAAAAAAAAAAATCAATTTAATCCAAAAAAAACTTAAAGTCACATGTACCAAAAAAATATTGAGTAATATACAAAACTTATCGATTAATTGTATTTTGACTTGACATCCAAAATATTACATATTATCCAAAAAGTAACAATTTTAGATTATAAACCTAGTTAAAAAATAGAAAACTATGAACTACCGTTTTAGTTGAAATAAATAATATATATATATATATATGTGTGTGTGTGTGTGTGTGTAATTTATTAATTAATATATATAACGGGTACGAGACGGGACGGGAATACCATACCCGCCTCTGTTCCCGTCCCCCATCCCCGGTTTGAGACAAACGGGGATCCCGTCCCCGTCCCCAACCGGGGTGGGTGGACCGGGTTCCTCGACGGGTCGGGGCCCACTCCCATGCCTATGCCAACCGACCAAACCGTATAATCATATTAGTTATTTTATAGTATACTTTTGGAAAATGTATTATAGAAGAACACTCGTACTTAATTATAGGTGATGCACACGTCGTCAAACACGTACCAAGGTTTAAATTGAACTCAAATCCAATGATAGGCTGAGTCCGTAATCATTCTTCTCAGGGTTTGTATTAAAACCGAATGCACGTTTGCCACAAAAATTGGGTACCCGAGAAATCAATTAAAGCCGATCAAGACTTAAAACATTAACTTAAACGAAGACTTCCGAGTGTGCAATTCATAAACCATAAGTTGAGTGATTACACAATTTAAAGTCAAAACCAACAATCAATGGATTCCATGAATGCTAATAATTTATCAATCCCATGCTTAATTTCAACGTCAATCATACCAAAATAGTACGATTGGTTTGACCTTGGCTGCAAAGATCAAAAGTACCAGGAGGGTCTCAGGTTTAAATCTCCTTGTGGCCACGAAGGTTCAAATGCGATGACTCCGGCCATCTGCAAAGCAAGTGGTTGTCCTGAGATTAGTCGACTCGTATAGTGGGTTGGATATCCAGGTTAATAAAAAAAAACAACCAAAGGTACCATTAGTTATTTGGTTCGATCGTGATATGTTGTTGATGGATCTATACAGGAACGTACTCAAGGCGACAATTGATGTCCCACGGACTGGCCAACTCAATTTCTATTGCACACAACTCGACCACCTTGACGAGGAATGGAGGATGAAACAGATCAATGCCATTATCAAATCAAGCGATCAACCACACGTTTTGGCCGGTGGCATCAATTCGCTCAGTGGATCGGACTATTCAACCGAGAGATGGAACAACATCGTCAAGGTAATGAAAATAGTCACATTTCCCTTGTATTGAATTATGATCTCCTTTTGTCCACGTACGACCGGATCACTCTAATGTTTTTGTTGCAGTATTACGAAGAATTGGGAAAACCGACACCAAGAATAGACGTGATGAATTTTCTACACGAAAACGACTACATTGATGCCAAGCATTTTGCGGGCGACTGTGAGCCAGCTGTGATCATTAGCAAAGGGCAAAGTACAAATCATAAGCTTTAGCTTTTTTATTAATTGTGGGGGTTCGGGTCAACTTGCGCATATCAATCTCAACTAACGTTAACAGTCTAAAAACCTCAAGTGGGCTCTAAGGGTGCATTCAGTACACAGTACACAAGACTGAATAGTCTATATTGTCCCAGATTGGACATGACATTAGATCAGGATATGATATGACCTGAGTGGGATAAAAATGCACTCACCTACCGCACTTTCTCGCTCGTATAGTCATGTCTGGTTCGATCCTGTCTAAGTACCAAACGCACCCTAAGAGAACTCGAACTAGTGACCAATAGAGAGCAAACCCAAGGCGTGTTCAGTTGAGCTACCCCAAGGGTTAACGTTTTAAGCTTTAACATTGTTGCGAATACGTGTAACAAGGCTTTGATTGTTTCCTATTTGTGTATCAGGTGTACAAGGAACATGCAAGTATGGTACACGAGTGGATTACGTATTGGCATCGAGGGAATTGGAATACACATTTGTGCCAGGATCGTACTCGGTAGTATCCTCAAAAGGCACCTCCGATCACCATATCGTTAAGGTCGATCTGAAGGGTGGTGCTCGTGAGGTGAAGCGGACAAAAAGAATCAAAAAAAGTATCGTCAAACTAACATGTAAGTATTGTATCGATCTATGCAAGGATATATAAGTCGTGTGAAAGTATGATGTCCGATCCAAAAACGGTTACAAAATGTTTGGACCGACATAATTGATCGGTAGTCGATGAAGCTAACTCAACCGATTATGAGACATAACTGGCTATGACAAGAACATGTTATAAACCGGTTATATATAGCTTGGAACAAATATATAATTTGGTCGGGTTGTGGCACACTATTTAAGGTCCGGTGGTGTAGTAGAATTAATTTCATCTTCTCGGGTACGAATCCAAGTGTTGTCAAAATGCTTGTGATTAGGGGGTGCTCAATAACCCGACCAACCCAACCCAACCCAACGCAACGCGAAATAACTCAACCCCGAAGCAACCCAATGTCTAATCGAGTTGTAAAATTTTCAAACCATAGGTATTGGGTTGATATTGGGTTACTATTATTTGAATTCAACTCAACCTGAAGGACCCGATATCTTTTTATCTTTTGGATTTAATATGATTGTTGAATTTATGTTAATATATATATTAGACAATTATACTATTACGTACGCTTTTCATATACACATCTTTTCAATCTATTCACATCTTTATATAACTCATTCGTATATATGTTTGGTAACTGTAAACATATATACGTAAATTGAGAAAATTAATTGAATATGATATACGTAAGAAGTATGGATAAATTGTATCAAATGGTTAATGATGGAAAAAAAATTATGAGTAGAGAAATAACATATTTAAAGTTAGAAGAATATGTAATGTAGTATCAGTCCGACCAACCCGTACGGTTTGGGTTGGGTTGCACTTTCGTTTGGGTTGAATTGAGTTAAGATTTTCCAAACCGCAAGCATTGGGTTGAGTTATTCAAATGTCTTCAACCCGATCAACTCAATCTATGAACACTCCTAGTTATGACCATAGAGGTTCACTTACGATAACGACATTTGATTCTGTATAAAAGTTGGCTTGCAAATTTAGGGTTAAAAAAAACTATATAATTTGGTTTTATGTACGGTTACATGCATTTTTGGTTTATGTGTTTTCTAATTTTGGTCCCTACAGTTTGTTTATTACAAATTCTCATTTGGAATTTACAATTTTGTTTGGTTTTGGTCCTAATTTTTGTTAAAAAGAATTCCGTTAAATTAAAATATAGTCGGGGCTTTGTATGTAATCAGATAAGGGTGATGGAAGAACTCGTTTTTTTCTCAAACACAGATAAAACGCACAGGTTGATTTCTCTCTAAAACACACTAAGAAAATGAAAACGGGTCATTTAGGTTTATAACTTTAAATAAGATCTTAATTAAATTGATGACACAACTACAAGGGTGGTGCCTAATTGGTTTGAGCTTTGCTCAAAATACTAGGAGGTCTCAGGTTCAAATCCAAGGAAGAATAAAAATCCCCTTGTGGCCACGGAGGTTCAAATGCGGTGACTCCAGACTATCTGCAAAGCAGATGGTCACCCTGGAATTAGTCGGCTTACATAACGGATTGGATATTCAGGTTAATAAAAAAAATTAAATTGATGACACTTTGATCTATTAAACAAAAATGGGTATATACTCTGTAAAGTCATGGATTTAATTAACATGCATCTCTTTATAGTTAATTAAAATAAATTTCACCTGTAATCTTTTTTAAATGTAAGTATTTTTTGGTGTATTTATTTCACTTCATATAAGTACTTTTTTTATTCAAAAAATATTTAGAGACTTAATCATTCAAAATATGAAAGTCTATTAATATTTTTTTCAAACTTTTTCTATTATTTTTCCACATAATAATAAATTATGGAAATTAATGAGGGATACCATAAGTAAATAAATAAATATAAATTTATAAGTTCCCATTGATATAAAAAAATTACACAATTATACTTTTATATTTGTTTCATAAATAAAATTAATTAATTCGAATGAGTTGACTATGATGGATCTTACACATCTCATATTTTAAAAGTTCTTAAATAATTAAACTATAACATGTTAAGATCACATTTGCATATAACCATATATTTTATATATCAAAAAATATAATTTACACATCTGATCTTAATATCTACAAAAGCTACATGTATACATAACAAGTACAAAAATAACACATCATCCCAACATCACATGTAAGCAGTTGTATATTCTTCATACTTCCCCCTTTCCCTTTTCATTTGAATGAGCCCGACCTGTATTGCACATTTTGAAATACAAAAAATGGTTAGATCTTGAGGTCTAGCGAGAAATCTTTTTATTTGCTATTATATGAAAAATCACCAAAAAACTTTTACAAACCCAAATTTGTATAATTAACAAATGAACAATGTTTTTCAAAACTAACCTCTTTTGTCACATCAAAATAATGAAACACCCTTTTATCGTATCAAATAATCAAATAACTCATTTATTGCATCATACAAAAATTCGTCACATCATATGGATAAAATCATAAATTCCTTGCATCATAAGGGTGAGACAACCTCATTTCCTCGCAACACACTAGTCTGAGAACCTCATCTCATCACATCATATTGGATGCGATAAACGTAACTTGTCGCATCAATAAGATGCGATAAGTTAATCTTGTCGCATCACAAAAATGTGACAAACATGTTCCTTGCATTACGAGGATGCGATATAAGCAAGTCATCGCATCAATAGGATCCGATAACACAAGTTATCGCATTACACATATGCAACAACTTCAAGTCATTGCATCATAAGGATGCGACAACAAATTGTCATATGATAAAAATCCAAATTTCACATTCATTTGATTTTGTCACTCTTATAACCATAATACACCTCTCATGATTATGTCAGCCTTATAACCATAATACATCTCTAATGATTATGTCACCCTTATATCCAAGAAACACCTTTCCGGATTATGCCACCCTTATATCCAAAATACAAACCTTCTGATTATGTCATCCTTATAACCAAAATACACCAATTCTGATTATGCCACCCTTATTCCAATCATTCAATATTAACATATCAAAATACAAAATTATGCTAATAATATCAAAATCTTCTTTACAGGTTTTTGATTTTCTTATAAACCCTATTTCATCGCACTGCAATGTCGTTACGAATTTATGACATCTGTAAGATGAAAAACCATGAAAACCTCAAGTCTAGCATCTGTTTTCATTTGATCGCTAATATATATATATATATATATATATTCTATGGTTGAATCCATCAAGAAGCAGGTGATCCACTCAAAATCAAAGCAGTCACCACCTTTTTCTCTTCACCGTCCACGTCATCATCTTCTTCAAGTTATATAACCAGTCACCTTCCATGGTTTCAAGAATCCATACTTTTAGACACAGTTTTCATCATCTGTTTCTCTTCTGGTTCTCTTTTAGAAATTAGTTTTCTTTCTTCCTTTATCTCCATACCCACCTCCTTTTCGCAAGGAAGCTGATGGGTACGGAGGTGTTGCACCCACATGACTGCTTCGTCGATCTTCCTCCGCCCAACTTCATCGCTGATTATACCCCAAATGGCGGAGATTTTTATTCAAGACCCATAAACAATGGTGGTTGCCGGAAATTGCAGCCCCTCAGACGGCTGCCGGAGAAAATGGGTTCAACACCCGGAAGAGTCAACGATGGTGATGACTCCGACTCGTATGCAGGATCGGGTTTCTTTCATTCTCCCTCACCCAGGTCTCTACCTCTCCCATCGTTTTTTAACAAGAAACAGCAAGATTCCATGGCCATGGCGGCGGCAGATCATGGCGGTTTTGATGACTCCGCCACCCAACATCTCCGACGATTGCTCCGGCTCGGGTGAAATTGGATTACGTACTGGTGGGTTAGTTTCTGGCATGGAAGGAAGATGACTGGATGGATGGCTGAAGGTGGTGCGTGGTGGGTGTATATATATATACATTTTTGTATGTATATATCCAGGGGATTCAAGTTGGATGATTAATTTAATTTTGTTTTTTTTATGTATTGCTTTTTATTTTTACGCAAAAAAATAGGTAATGTTTTTTTTTTCTTTTAATACTTTTTGAAGTTTTCAATAATATATAACGATTTTTCTTATTATATCAATCATATGTTATTTTTTTGTTATTTTAAAACTTGTTAGATACATCTTTATAACTTATACATCTAGTTAGGGGGTGTTTGGGATTGCTTATTTTAGGTGTTTTTTTGACTTATTCCAGGGTACCGATGATAAGCTAAATGTTAGTGTTTGAATGAGGAAAAATAAAACTGTTTATACCGGTGCCAAACCGGTAATAAGCAGTTTTTGATAAGTTAATCTTTCCTGACTTAAGAAATACTGTTTAATACTAGTTTACCATTTTAACCTTGTTTTTATTAATGTTTATTAATTATTAATCTTATTGATATAAATTTTTGTCAAAGATATTATTATAAATGATGAAAAATAAATTTTTACATGTTAAAAAATCAAATAAGTTAATAAGCAATCCTAAAGACTCCCATAAGTCAATAATATGGAAATCTGTCTTTTTTGGTCATTTTACATATATAAGCAAAATTTGTCAAACAATAAAGAACAACTTATCAGCTTATTGTTTTTTGGTACCGTTATAAGTTAATTCAAACATTTTATATAAAACTCCAGTTTGATACCACATAAGTTAATAAGCATTTTTACGAAAATGCATAAGTTGTTTTAAATAAGCAATCCCAAACACCCCTAAAACCAACCTCAACTTGTTATTGATTTCTATTCTTCAACCATTTATTTGTGTTGGAGGAATCCATTTATAGAGTAAAAAATGAGCGTTTCGTTTTCATTACCATCGTTAGAACAATTTCCATTACTACCAACGGTAGCTTGGTGATGGTGATGGTGATGGTCAACAGTGGTGACGGTGTTAGACGGCATTACATGGACTGATTTCTTCCTTACCAGGTCTATTAACACGGTGGCTGGTCCGTACCACATCGAGGATCGGTCGAGTCGTGCCTGAACTCCCTCCATCTATTAAAAACGGATTTCGATCAATGCCAACTCGATGGTGATCAGATTCGAGTGGAAACCTCCGACGATGGTTTTTTTAAATTTTATCTCTGTTATGAGATTGGAAAGCATTATATACATGCTGGTCTATAAAAATAAAAATCACCTATCCCCAATTTCCATGTTCCATTAATGTCCACTAAT